TGATTCTTGGGTACTTCCATGTTAGCGAGGTTTTAATCAAACAAAATTTAATTTTATTGTTCTCTGAATTAAAATTTGATCAGTTTAAATGCATCTCAACATAAAAATAATGTTCAGCTCCATTAGACATTATAAAATACTATTTAAATTTCGTTCATTTTAACAAAAAGTTAAAATTCGACAGAACTTATGGGATGACCTGATAGATAAGTGTCACAGTATTGCGTAATATTTGGCCTTTTGTCTGGTAAACCGTTACAAGTGAATCGTCCATCCATAGGTGACTCCAGACTGGTCACTTTGGGTCAAAACTAACCGAAACTTATTAAGTAACAAGAAAGTTACTTTTTGAAATAATTTACAAAACTTCACTGTTTGTTCATCCTGTGCCGTGTTCTTTCAGGGCGTAAGCGACCATGGCTCTACACAATTCGCTGTTCCTTGTAAATCTTAATAAAATTCGTCTTTCTGTTATTTCTCCTAAAGCCTCTTCCGTCGTCCAATACGCCAGCTCACTGTTATGCATTGATTTCCTCTGCACCCCCCCAAAAAAAAATATCTCAACTGTCTCTTCCTGATATTAAGTGTAATGTCCCCTTTTGTTACCATTTCTCATAGTTTCAATACAATAAAAACCTACCCGGTGCTGTGTAGGCATAATCGATTTGAGTTCATTATGTTAAACCCTTAACAGATGTGGAGATCGTATAATGGATTCATCTGTTGCATTCACTTTCACAAAATTGTTATTAGAAACCGTTTCTTCATAATGAAACATCAAGCATGCTTTGACCGAGCAATCAGTACTACTTTTGCTTAAACGTTAAAAAGAAAACTACTTCTCTTTTCAGGAAAAGAGTTTTCTCGTGTTCAATAGCCGTTATCACATGGACGATGACTTCACTCCTAACGTTTTTTGATGTAATGTGGAAAGTGAAGATTTTGTGGTCATGCCATTATTTTCACTTCCAGTTACATTAGCTGTACATCTTTTGAAGAATGGCAGTTCTTACTATACATTCACGCTTCATACCCTCAAAGCCATTTTTAATCATCGATCGTTGAATGTGGTTGTATAGAGTTGACTGTTTAGATATTTCGCTATTGGCTTTGCGCTATGCCTGGCATTCATATTAAGTCTTCATCACACGAGGTTATTTAAGAAAATGTTCCGACGTTTCAGGTCAATATTTTGATTTTGAAGCCATTTTGATGGTGAACGAGGCTATAACTGGCATTTCCAGTCCTATGTTCAATTTTCTTATCTCTCACACTAAATGACCTCGGGAAATATATACATCCTCCTCTTCCTTCAGCCCATGTATGAGAAAAAGAGCAGGATCAATGAGGCTTTTATCCGTGGGTGGCAGCCAGTTTAGAAGAAGGGAAATTTCTGATTTTCGAATTGAGGAGAATGCAACGAAGACTGCTCCAACATCTTGGAATGCAGACCAAGTACTGTATATCTTTTTGAAAGGACATTGCATTTAAAATCTGAACCCAAATAATTCAAATGTAATACGCTATCAAAGGAATAAAAAAGTTTACGTTTTTCTAACACCTACAAGATAGGAGATCCGAGTTCTAATTCCAGTAGCGTTAATTATATTTAGTTACGTGCAATTACCATTAAGAACCGTTTGAACACCTTCTCTTTTCTGGTTTAAAATAAGCCGCAAAGTGTTAACAGGCCGTAAAAAACACTAATCAAACAATTTAACCCCTATTACTCAAGTAATACATGTAGTAACATTAGGCTTTTGGTCATATCACGTTCAAATGCCGGTTCTCTTATGTTCATGAAAGTTAAACAACGGCAATATTAGTCAGTACGTTGGTGGTTACACGCTTGGGAATACCAGCTTGTATATAAGGGTGTTGTAATGGGTAAGGGTTCAAAATTGGGAATTGGAAAGTAGTGTTCCAAAAACAATCGGGTTAATTATATTCGCTTCGGCGCATATACCGCTGTGAAAGTTATGAATCCCTCTCTTCACTCCTCCCACAGCTATGGGTCAGTTATTGGGACCTGTATCGGTAAATCCCATTCGCCAAAACGTTCTTACATTCTAAAATATATTCTTGTTTTAAGTAACCTGCAAACGGTGGATAAGCCGTAAAATAAATCAATATATAGATTATCTCTGTATATATATATATATATATATATATATATATATATATATATATATATATATATATATATTCTCTCTCTATATATATATATATATGTGTGTGTGAAAACTTCTCCGATTTAACCAGTAGTGAAACAATATTTATGAATAAAAATGACAATAGGAAAACTAGTAATTGCTGAAGCGTTTCGTCCAATGTGAACTTTATCAAAGCAAAATACGAAATGAATTTAATTGAACACGGTAACTAATACAAACAAGAACAGTTGCTACGAACATTTCATTTTTTTTATTAGTTATCTTGTTCAAATAAATTCATTTCGTATTTTGCTTTGATAAAGTTCACATTATTCATAGCAATTATAGTTTTCCTATTATATATATATATATATATATATATATATATATATATATATATATATATATATATATATCACACATGTACACACAGGAGGGATGTCTGAAAAGTAACGGGAATGGGTGTGCTATGGGCGTAGAGGCCATCGAGAGGGCTGTACACACGAGGGTTTAGAGGGATCCTTCCAGCATTGCATAGACTCGTGTCAGAGAAGGATGGAAGACTGCATTATACCAATGCGGGTAGTAATGAAGGGGAAACCATGTAGTCAGTGGTTTGGAATTGAAATAAATTGTTTGTAGGATGCGTGTATATATGTGTGTGTATGTATGTATGTATATAATTTTATATATATATATATATGTGTGTGTGTGTGTGTGTGTATGTGTGTGTGTTTTTCTTGTGTGTGTGTGTGTGTGTGTGTGTGTGTGTGTGTGTGTGTGTGTGTGTGTGTGTGTGTGTGTGTGTGTGTGTGTGTGTGTCTTAATCCGTTGGTATATAATACAAGTGAATCCTAATAATACAATACAAAATATTAAATATTCACACATATATCTCAATGTTTTAATCAAACAGAGCAACATATTTCATACAAAGGAATTAAGATTACGTTAGGTTAATGATCATTTTCACCTGGTAAATTGAAATAAAATTTACAAGGATTTCTAAAACCAGGCAATGCATGTTAAATTAATGAAAAACAAAAACAAAAAAAATAGTCAACGCTTGATATTTTTGGGAAAAACTATTCTTTTTTTTTTCATTTCAATAATTTTCAATACTTTAACATCCATTAATTGGTTTGAAAAATCCTTGTAAATTTTATTTCAGCTTCTAAGGTGAAAATGATCATTACCCTTATGTAATCCTAATTCATTCTGTATGATATATATATATATATATATATATATATATATATATATATATATATATATATAAATAAACGCTATATCTGTGAAGCGACCCAATGAAGAAATATCTATCGGATTAATCATCTAGCGAATAGTGTTGTTAACTCCAAGATTTCTTCTATGAAAAATTCTGCTCCCAGAGACACTTTTGCAAAAAAAAAAAAAATAGTCTATCGTTGATTTTGCACTCTGTCTTTCTCATAATTATCTCATGTATGTAAACAATTTTCTTTTAATTTTCTTTCGTGTTTCATTCCCATGTTTTATCTTTAAGTTTTAATATATAATTTTTTACATTCCAAATTGATTTTTTTGCTTTCTTCTCCCCACACTCCCATTTTTATGCTTTTTTTCTTTTAAAATTTTTATGCTAGATTTGTCAGTTTTCAGGAAACTCCCTCCGCCATATTTATCTTCACGAGAATGCCTTCGATTCTGAAAGAAACCAATTGACAATAAATTCACTCCGATCTGACTTAGTTTTTTAATCTCCCTTTATTTGTTTACTCTTCAACGTATCTCTGCGAACAATTTTTTAATAATTTATTGGCTTTCTGTCTCTTGAAGGTATTATCTTTCCCGTTTTTGTTTTTTTTCTTTTTGTTATCGCTCTGCAGCTTATTCTAAGTTTCGTTCAATTCCTTTACTTAAATATTAAAATATGCCATAATGAAAACAGAATACTGTTTCCCTAAATAGGAAGAAGCTACCCAGTCTTCACTTAACAGTCCGAAATTGTTTCCGCGTCTATTTGGGTGATTAATTATATCCACTCAGCTGATTTACACAGAAGAAACGTCGCAAGCCTCTCACAGTTCCTTCGTTTTTCCCATGGAAGATGTTCAGGCGAACTACATTCTTTAGTTTCACCCGTTCTAACCTTTACGGCTCAGACCCACCATGTCACGCACATTCACTTCGTATTTCATTGGTGAGTTAGATGTTCTCCTTGAGCAGCAGCATCTCACGAAATGCTGCTTTGTGGAACTGATTCCGAAGAGGATGCTTCCCGATCATAATCTGTTTAAGTCTAGGGTTAACCGTCATCTTCCACATATAGCCCCATATAGCGTACCACTTATTTTCTAAGCTTCTACCTCGAGTGGCTCTTGGACCTTGTGCAGGTTTGACATTATTTTACAGAAAAATGTAAGGTGAAATTCATATTATTACTGTTGCTTTAGAAAGATTGATATTTTAAATTGGGCTTCCTTTTTATCTGATTATTCAACTCTCATCAATATCAGTATGCGAGATCTCTTGTGTTCCAGCATTCTAGTTTTGGTAGTTAATGTCTGACGTAGTTACCTCTTCCGGAACACACATGCTTGTTAAATACGCACAGAGCTTATCTGTACTTTATATTTCTACTATACTGAGCGAACCTTAGTTACGGTTTATTGGACACAGAGCCTAATCTTGCGTGTTTAACAGATGAACAAGCCCAGTACGCTAAGTATCTCAGTTATGCTGATATGGGACTTCGTACGAGAGCAAGCGATGATAACAAGCTTTTGAACAGTTCTCTTGATCCAAAATTCTATCCAAAGTCTTCGATCAACATGCGATATGTTTTGTTCAGGTATTTTACACACAATGTTGCGTGCTTTTCTCCATTTCTTCTTTTTCTTTTTCATTTATATCTTTCCTTTCCTCCCTCTCTCTCTCTTATTTCCTTTTCCCTCTCTCTCCCCTCTTCCTTTTCACCTCTTTCCTTTCCCCTCTCTCTCCCCTCTTTTCCCTTTCCCCTCTCTCTCCCTCTTTCCTTTCCCCTCTCTCTCCCTCTTTACCTTCCCCTCTCTCTCCCCTCTTTCCTTTCCCTTCTCCTCTCTCTCCCCTCTTTCCGTTCTCTCTCCCCCTCTTTCCTTTCCCCCTCTCTCCCTCTTTTCCCTTTCCCCTTTCCTTTCCCCCTCTCTCTCCCCCCTTTCCGTTCCTCTCTCCCCTTTTTCCTTTCCCCTCTCCCCTCTTTTCCTTTCCCTCTTTTCCCCCCTCTCTCTCCTCTCTTTCCCTTTCCCACCTCTCTCCCTCTTTCCTTTCCCCCCTCTTTCCCTTTCCCCTCTCTACCTCTACCTTTCCTTTCCCCTCTTTCCTTTCCCCCTTCTCTCTACCCTCTTTCCGTTCCTCTCTCCTCTTTCCTTTCCTCTCCCTCTCTATCCTTTTTCCTTTCTCTCTCTCCTCTTTATTTTCCTCCCTCTCTCTCTTCCCCCCCTCCAAATCGACCATTGTGAGAGCGAAACCGTGATCTCATCGTCGGCATAATAACATTCTAACTGCTCGACCAACAATCCAACACTCACAAGGTTATTACAGTCACATACTTACACGTATCTTTTCTAACTTTTTCCTATTCTATCACTCATATTGTCACTGTTCTTCTAAGTTAAATTTAACAGCATTCAGATAATTTAAAACATATTTAATATTCTAAAACTATATGAAAAACGTATCAATATGAACAAAAAAGATTGGAATTACTTCTGCAACAATATTTACAACAGGATAAATGAATATTTAAAGGTAATAATTATATTATGAAAAGACGTCTTCTCATGGGATAATCATTTCTAATTATTTGCTATCTTTTCATTTCCTAATAATTTGATTGCATTTTCTTCTTTCCTTTCTTTTATTATTATTATTATTATTATTTTTATTTTTATTATTATTATTATTATTATTATTATTAGTGATGATGATAAAAATAATTCTCATATTATTAGAAAACCTAATTACAGTAAGAATCAAACTGGTAATGAACTGTGTGAACATCTTGCCAATCGCTATTTCATTGTCAGAGAAAACGCATTTCATAACAAAAATGATATAACGTAAGAAATTCTGGAAGTTTGGAATGGACTACTAAGTACATTATCAGAGATCATTGGAATTCTGGGGTGTTGTAGAAAATACATGATTTAAATCTTAAATCTTATTGCATTTTTATTACAAAAACGTTTCCTTGCGCGGAACAGCATGAATACTCCAGAAATTGTTGGATACAACCTTTCGGGGCGCTGGGAACCAATGATCGGATTATTTTCTTAAGTTACGAGTGGTGACCTGAAGTTAAAATTTTACCAGCAACCAACGTATAAAAATTCACCATCACAACAACAAACACCACTGGACTTGCTGCCACCCTTGGAACACATCACAAAAAATATACACAGTGCGAAGATACTCATCTTGGAAATGTTTTTTTTTTAAATTAATAAATAAATAAAACTGTATTTCTATTGTACTTGCAGTGTAAAAAGCAACACAACTCTAAATTTTTCCTTAAAGATACATGGTGCATCAAAAGTAATGTCTTTTTTTACGAGATATGATTGATAGAAAAACATGGAGCAAAGATCTCTAGGGTTTTTTTTTCAGCTTGTTTACAGACAAAAACCAAACACGTTTCCCAAACTGAATCGCGCAATTTCTGATAGATTTTTTTAAAAAAAATTAATGTAGAAATGTGTCAAATCGTTTGTAGAAATGTTGCTGCTAGACTTCAGCGTTGTATTGAACATAAAGGGGAACATTTTGACCATCTTAAATAGTTTGTTAATAATAACAAATCATGTTGTTTTCATGTGACAATACTTAAAAAATTTTTAAACTATTGTAATTTATTTTTTTCAATTAATGCCCATAAATAAAAAGGAGGCGATACATTTACCACACTCTCTATTTGTCACTTAGCAACCATCTCCTTTAGGTAGTTCTCTGTATACAAAGGTTCAATATATTCATTAGAACGCTCGCATAGATAAAATTATACCAGGAACAGTCAAATGTGTGCACGATATAGTAAGATTTTCCGAACATCTGTATGTGGGGGTGTAGCTATATGTGATGGTAGAAGGGGTAATAGTCGTAATAGTAGTAGAAGTAAGAAGGATATCCTCAATTTTTATAGCGCTTCTTTCATGTGTTCCCCTGTCCATCTTTCACATATTTCCTTCTCTCTTTGTTTTTCATTGTGGCACTAGGTCGAATGTATGGGGCACCCAGTGAGGATCGAACTCATTCGTAACTCTGCTTGCTAACCGCCTCGAGGTGCCCTATTTGGTTTTATTGTATCCGTCAGTTAAATACCATAAATGATACATGATTAGGCGATTATGTCTCTTTTGATTCATGAGTGTCAAGGCAGACGATTTTCCTGCTGTAGGTTGCCGTTTCTTTATACGATATACTTGGTTGCCTACCAAGGCTGTAGAACTCAGTCTGTCCTGCTATTCAACCGGTCGCCGGGGAAGGAAATGGATACAGTTTTTTCTCAAGTGTTTTTCGGGTGTAAGTGAATATCACAAACCCCCCAATGGAATTCGAAATTTATTGAATATTTTTAATGTTCAATTTGCTTTGCGACATCAGTTCTTGGTTTTTAATTTGTTTTTTTTATTTTTGTTTTTTGAATGATTAATCTACAAGGTAGCGAAAAAAGTTCTGTCCGTTTTTTGATTAGTCATTGAATGAAATTGAAATATATACGAAATGCTTGTAGCAATTGTTTTCAAATTCGGACAGGCGGAAGTAGAAACATCAGACGTTATTAAAAAACAAAACACACGCACAGTGCCCGGCCATCAGTTATAAGCCAGGCAGCTGTGAGAAGGATGGAAGTGTCCAGAGATCTCGTTCGGGGCTGTTTGCTTTACGATTTCAAAGTGGGCATATCAGCAGCTGCATCAAGTTGCCGCATATATCAAGCGTTTGGGGATAGTGCTGTGGATGAACGTACTGCAAGGCGTTGGTTTCGAAAATTCAAGTCGGGTGATTTGTCTCTCCATGATCAGCCTCGTAGTGGACGACCACAGGTCTTGAATGACGGAATCCTGAAGGCGGCCATTGAAGTGTGCAGTAGTGTAACGTGTAGTCTAACTTGCAAGACAGTTCAACGTTTCCGATGAAACAGTTACACTTCACCTGCACCGCCTAGGTATGACGTACAAACTGAGCAAGTGGGTTCTGCAAACGCTGTTGGAGGTCCACAAGGGACAACGAGTGGCAGCCTGCGTATCGCTGCTTTCTCGACACCGTACCGCGTCCTTAATTCAATCGAGTGTCTACCAGTGATGAAAAGTGGGTTCTGTACGAAACTCCCAAGCGTTCTAGACATTGGTTGTCTCCTCAGGATGATGTCCCTCATACCGCAAGACCGCCTATACACCCACGCAAGATTATGCTTTGTGTCTGGTGGACATGTGGTCAAGTGGTTAATTATGAACTGCTACTAACGAGCCAAACGGTCACTGGAGACCTATACTCGCAGCAATTGAAACGTGTGCAACAGTCATTGCGCCAGCAGGAGCCAGCACAGGTGAATCGCAAAAGTGTGCTTTTCTGATAATGCCAGGCTGCATGTCGCGCGAGTGGTCAGGGATACCATACAGTAACAAGGGTGGCAGACTTTGTGGCATCCACTTTATTCACCTGACCTTGCGCCATCCGATTACCACTTCTTCCACTCCCTTCGTGGGATAACCTTCACCAATGAAGCAGACTTGCGCAAAGCCCTCACGGACTGCTTTGCGTCAAAATCCCCCGAGTTCTACGGCAAGGGCATTGAACAGCTGGAGACATGTTGGCAGAAGGTGCTGGATGCCGATGGCTATTACTTCGTAGTCTAAATATAAGTTACACATACTGGGAAGTGTTTTCTTTTTTTTTCCTTTAAAAACGGACAGAACTTTTTGGTTACCTTGTAGTTTTTCTCAGCTAATTTTCTTTATTCATATTTTTTTCGACTCCGGGTTTTTCCTTTCCTCCTATATTTTCTAACTTTTTCTTTTGCTCGACTTTTTTTTTTTTTTTTTTTTTTTTTTTTTTCATTTTTCTTCTCAGTACTAGTCTTTTGGTTTGGTTTGGTTTTTGGTTTGGTTTGGTTTTTGGTTTGGTTTGGTTTATGGTTTGGTTTGGTTTATGGTTTGTTTTGTTTTGTATTACGACATATCAACCTCAATGGATTATTTAATGCAGACAAGATTTTTACTGCTGGTACTATTTTTTTTTCTTCACATATGTATAAAACTGGTAATATTATTTTTTTTTTTCAAAAATTAATTTATTGCTGGTTATTTTTTACAAAGTATTTCTGATATTTAAACTTATTTTTACACTTTCATAGTGTTTTCAGAACGGTTTGGGGGTTAACTATTTACCCATAGTTGGGGCCTTAAAAAGTGTTACCACCATGGGTCACGGTGGACCTAGGAACACCAACAATTACGAGGTGGTTCCTCGGTCCTCAAAACCTACTGATCAGAGGCCTTGCAGTTGGACCGTAGTTTATCGTGTTACCCGGGACGCGGATGTATTTTATCTTCATACTCAGGACGGAATAAATGTCTTATTATAATACTGTCTCCATGAAATTACTACTAGTTGTTCCTTCTTAAACTACTAATACTACTGCTAATATAGTTTCTTCTTCTCTTATTACGAATAAACTAAGAGTCAAATACATTTTCACTTGTGCCATGAATATTTATAAAATTTATATTTTCATTGCTCCTTTTTTCTAAGACATCAATATATTTTTTTTCAATTTTTCTTCACTAATAGCAAAATGACTAAAAGCAATCACCTTCAGTATTTTCACCTTTTTTTCCTTCTTTATATTTACCTTCAAATCCTTTTGATTTTTCTTGATTTTTTTTTTTCACTTTCCGATTCCTTTCTTAGATTTATTCATCACTTAAATCATTTACTTCAGATATTTGCTACATCTCCCTCTTTTCTTTTTATTTCGTTCGCTGCATTTCTTTGACTATAGACGTTTCTTTACTATTTAGTTTTCGGCTATTTCTTCCCCTTATTTTTACATTCTTCGATATTTGGAATTTACTTTCAATTCATTCCTCCAATTTTTAGTTATTTTTTTTTATTTCAAATAATATTTCCATCGATTTTTTTTTATCGTATTTAACTTTAAATCAAACTTCTACTACAAAATCATTTTTTTAAGAAAAAAAGAAAACGCCTTTTATTCCTCTTCAACTTTCTGATATGGACCACAAATTATGGTTCCTGCTTTTTTTAACACATTCTCTTGAAAATATTGAGTCGTGCTTACAGACTCAAGGCGTTGTGATGGCGATGAGATAGGAACGGATTTCCATTTTTCCATTGTGAGATTTTTCAGGCATTTTTTTTTAAGTTCATCATATTTTTACAAATCATATTTTTCGTGTCGATTTTTTTTACAGATATTTTTTTTTCATTTTTTGAAAGGGTGAGACTTTTGTCTGATGATTGAGTCACTTAACACGCTAATGTCATTTACTGCCTCAATCATTTAGAGTAAGTCATCGTTCATATTTTCCACGTTTTTTTTTCTTTTTACTCACCATTTTAACTTTCACAGTCATGATGCATAATGTGGGGAGCCAACGTTAAGTGCTTACTTCCGGACGCTTTTTTAATATTGCTATTGATAGGGGAATACGCACGTTCACCGATAACATTTGCACATACAAGATATGTGAGATGGATTCAAAAACTTATTCATGTGAACATATATAGATATTAGTATAGCATTTTTTATATCTAATATTTTCATTCTCATCATATAAGTTTACATATCCATGTAATCTTATACACCCACTCACTCATTTCAGTTGTTCCCTTTATGACACTCTTTCACTTGCCTGTGTATACAAATAAAAATGCGTGTATATATCTATCATATATATATATATATATATATATATATATATATATACATATATATATATATATATATATATATATAAATCCCACACACAAACACACACACACACACACATATATATATATATATTTATGTTTATATAAACACAGTCACACACACACACACACACACACACACACACACACACACACACACACACACATATATATATATATATATATATATATATATATATATTACTTTCCTGTATGATCTACATGACGAAAATGATCAGTGAAAGTGCAATACATTATTCTTTATAAAAATCAAAACAGTATAAATGAAAAAGATATGAAGTAGCCGCTTTTAGTATTATTATTATTATTATTATTATTATTATTATTATTATGTTAAATATATATTTCTGTGTATATATGTGTGTGTGTGTGCGCACGCGCGTGCCCGCGAACTTGTCGTTGTGCACGATTCTTGTGTGTCTGCAATTTGAATATCATTCAAAGAAGCGAATAGTAAATTTTTGTCATTCGATCGCATAATCTTAGTACGAATATAATCGAGATGACATTTAAATATTTGGACCGGGCCTGGTGTATATACTAAATTCACCGGAAACGTTATTTTACGTTGCTAAAGCGGTAAATTACAGTATATTCCCAAACTTTTATTTTAAACCCACCACTTCCCGTAAAGGATTTGAGCAGGATCATTCCAGTCCTCACTTTCCAGTCTCGAGAGTGTTGAAACGCTTCTCCGAGTCATTTTGGGTGATAAATTATTTTCCGCCCTCCAGCTTTCTCTCACAGGCGGGATGTGGCGAGCCTCTCGGTGTTCTATCGCTACTACCGTGTAAAGACGAACTACATTCCTTAGTTTGGCCAGGACAAACAACTGAGGACTAGGATCCGCCATGCCACTTATATTGTAGGAAATCACCTACATTCCCTCTGTATTCCATCGATGAATAGTCAGTATCAATCTAACAGCTTCTTCCCGCGAAACTCTGATCTGTGGAACCGACTGCCATGTTTCGCTGAACACTTCAATCAAACTATTCAAGACTAGTGTTAACCGTTATCCCCTTTCTTGCCCATATAAACTGCCTCTTAACATAGCACTATACTACGAGTGAACCTCGAGCCATGTACCGGGTAAACCTTACTGTAAAAAACAAAAAGAATAAGAAAAATGAGGCTCAAAATGCCAGTGCTAATTTATGGTGCCAACTTAACAACAGAAAAAATAAGATTTTTAACCAAACTTTACAAGTTTCTAAAACGGATTAACATATACTACTTCACACATTCACACACACACACACACACATATATATATATATATATATATATATATATATATGGGTTTCCTCTTAATAATAACACAAATATATTGACAATAAAAATTTGGTTTTAAGCTTCGGGCATGTTTTTCTTGTATTCTCATTTTTTTTAACGAATCTTTGGCAGCACCCACAAATGTTTTAAAATTAATTGAAACTTTATTCTAACAAAAGATTCAAGTTACAGTTTACTTATTTTACGTAATTTTTTCTTAATAATTTTAAATATTTAAAAATCAAAATTTAAAGCAATCGGCTGGAAATATTAAAAGAAAACTTTACCTTGCTCATCACAAAAAATACATTTTTCGTTTGCTCCTTTTTACTCCAAGTGTGAACTGGTCAAGAAGAAAATTCTCGGTAGTGGTCACGTGATTGAATCCGGGTCGTTAGAAGGGATCAAGAATTCTCTCCAATGATAATGTTTTTTTAAAGCAATAAAAATGTAACTTTTGATGAGGCAATATGGTGGTGCAAAAATGCCTAAAGACGAACCGTTAGATCAGGACCTATAAATACTGCTGATTCTTCATCAGATTTTATCAAGCAGCTCCTGGTATATAGCAGGGACACCAGACAATATGTAGAATAAAATATTCTAAGAATACACAATAACCTACCCAGTATGTCCTTTTCATCTCGACTGCGTCATTTTTTAAAATTTTCTAATGCCCATAATTTTTATCTTTCCTCCTCCCTTAGAGAGAGAGAGAGAGAGAGAGAGATTCTTCCTTTTTTCGGAAAACAGAATACAGCGGCAACACTTATTTTAGAGGGGTGAACGTGTCTTGCTAACATCTTTCTTTTTTCAGTTTGTTTTTGGGGGTCATCTTCCCCTACACATTATTTCATGACATTGATTATCAATGACGATTTTTACTTTTATTTTATCTGGGTTTCTGGAATTTTTTTTTATGTATGTGTCTGAAGTTATAAGATTGTTTTATTTTCCAAACACGGTCAGCCTATTGTGGCCGTGTTCGTAGTTAATATTAATATGTGTTGAGTTTTAAAACATCCCTATAACTTCAGGCACATGCATAAAAAACTACTCATGCAATTAAAAATTAAAAACAAATATTGACTACACATGCATACGAGCGAGACACGCAGGGAATTTTAAATTTAGAAATTCTATTTTTCATTTTTATTTCTTTATCATGTGTTTTGGATATATAATAAATCCAATTTTATTTAGATTATTTTCTTTTTGTTTCCATAATATTTGTTATTAAATATCCCACATTGGGATAATATATTATCTGCCATTAATGGTGCAATGTTGTAAGAACCTGGAAGCAAATTTATTGTGGATGAACTAGCGATCAAAGCACTTTGTAAACATTTTCGTCTATTTTCACTTTTATGTTGATGTCAGTCCCATCACAGTGTATTTAGGATAATCATATAGAGTCTGTCTATATTTCTGAGATGAGGTATTATATACATTATTTACATTATTCGGACTATTGTCCTCATATTTATTTGCTCCAACGTTTCTTCGGCTGTTGTACGTTCCTGCCTTTTTCAGGTGGTTGGAATTTCGAACTGAGACCTTTATTTCGCTCACTGGGGTAGACTGTTCTAGTTCCACGTGCCATGTTTGATGGATGTCATTTATCAGTTATCTCCCTGCTAATTTCCCCTCTGAAAGTTCTCACTCCCTTAACCGGTGTTGAACTCTTGGGTCAGGTTACTGATTCTAACTAACGCCTTTATCCACTGTGCCATGTGTTCTTGAGGATAAAGTGTTCAGTTCGAAATTCCAACCACCTGAAGAAGGCCGGAGTGTCCAATGGCCGAAACGTTGTGATAAATATGGCGACAAAGATGAGGACAATAGTCCGAATAATGAAATTATAATCATATAGTTTTATGGTATGCTATATTTAAGTATTTATCCGGCTCCAGGCCGCAGCAGAATGCATCACCAGTTTTAATCTATACAGCTAAGACGCGACATCACACGCACATTAAAGCGAACAACATTCATTACCTTTATATCCCATTCGTATGGTGTGACTTCCACTCGTGGGGATTCCTCCAATGATCCATTGTTTTGCGGAACCGATTATCAAGAGGATGTTTCCCCGATCTCTACAAAATGTAAAAAGTTTTTATAAGGCGTTTCATCCGTTGTTGTACTGTTTCGTTTTTTCGTTGTTGTTTTCAATACGAACGACAGGGGTTATATATATATATATATATATATATATATATATATATATATATATATATATATATATATATATATATAGGTCGAAAAATATATGCGTTTGTGATACGAAAAACCTTACAACCGTAGAGAATTCTTGGTTTGCCAATAATCAAATCAATCACGATGGAAAAAAGTTTTATAAAAAGAAAAGAGCATAGAAAACATATAAGTCTGTCGACAAAAATGCAAAGATGCAGGTTTAAGCCCAAAAAAAAAAACGAATATGAGTAAATTTCGTTGTATTACTGCCTTTAACAGTTTTCGTCTGTTCAATACAATAGAATAGATGTTGTTCTTGACCTAGATAAACATAGAAAATGGAAATGAGACAAACCTACTAACGTTGAGGTTTCACCTGCTGATCGTCAGGGGAAAACTTCGGCCGGCAGAAATTTATATAAACTTTATCCCTGACGATTCGCTATTTGAATTGTGTGATGAGGGATGTCGCCATTTAAATCATTAACCTACATTAGTTTTTATTGAATAATTCATATTCATAAATTGATTATCTATCTATATATATATATATATATATATATA